TTGCGGTTTTTAACAAGAAGTTGAAAATATCACTTTTTACCAAAAATGACAAAAATATTCACCAAAATTAGAGAATTAAAGATATCATACAAATGAACAAATCTGAGAGAGATACACATGTAGTACCTATACATATAATATCAAAGCAATTGGACTTGCGGTTTTTAACAAGAAGTCGAAAATATCACTTTTTACCAAAAATTACAAAAATATTCACCAAAATTAGAGAATTGAAGATATCAACATGAAAATGAACAAACCTAAGAGAGGTCTATCCAAGGTACATATACACCAAGTATCAAAGCATTCAGGCTTGTAGTTTTCAAGAAGAAGTCGAAAAAGTAAAACATTGACACGGACGACGACGGACAATCACTCATATGATAAGCTCCGCTCGACAAAGTCGACAGCGGAGCTAACAAATCTGAGAAAGATACACATGTAGTACCTATATATGTAATATCAAAGCTTTTAACAAGAAGTCGAAAATACCACTTTTTACCAAAAATGACAAAAATATATTCACCAAAATTAGAGAATTGAAGATATGATCATGAAATGTACAAATCTGAGAGAGGTCTACCCAAGGTACATATTCACCAAGTATCAAAGCATTCAGGCTTGTAGTTTTCAAGAAGAAGTCGAAAAAGTGAAACAATGACATGGACGACGACACCGAACGACGACGGACGATGACGGACAATCACTCATATGATAAGCTCCGCTCGACAAAGTCGACAGCGGAGCTAAAAAAGTTGTTTTTTTGTTTCTCATCATTGTACATAATTTATTTTCCTTAAATTCAAAAATTCTCCATTAAGTTATTTATGTCAGGGGATTTCTAACAAATTTGATACAATCACCAGGTCGATGTAATGACAAAGCTGATACAATTACAAGGTTGATGTTGATGCAATAACAAATTTGATGCAATGATATGGCTTTGTAATGACAGAGTTGGTGCAATCATCAGGTTGATGCAATGACAGAGTTGATGTAATGACAAGGTTGATGTAATGACAAGGTTGATGCAATGACAAGGTTGATGTAATGACAGTTGGTGCAATCATCAGGTTGATGCAATGACAGAGTTGATGTAATGACAAGGTTGATGTAATGACAAGGTTGATGCAATGACAGAGTTGATGCAATCATCAGGTTGATGCAATGACAGATGATGCAATGACAGATGATACAATGACAGATGATGCAATGACAGAGTTGATGCAATGACAAAGATGATGCAATGACAGAGATGCTGCAATCACAGAGATGATGCAATGACAGTTGATGCAATGACAGAGTTGATGCAATGAAAAGTTTGATGCAATGACAGAGTTGATGCAATGACAAGGTTGATGCAATGACAGTTGATGCAATGACAGAGTTGATGCAATGACAGAGTTGATGCAATGACAGAGTTGATGCAATGACAGAGTTGATGCAATGACAGAGTTGATGCAATGACAGAGTTGATGCAATGACAGAGTTGATGCAATGACATGGTTGATGCAATGTCATAGTTGATGCAATGACAAGGTTGATGCAATGACAAAGTTGATGTAATGACAGTTGATGCAATCATCAGGTTGATGCAATCATCAGGTTGATGCAATGACAAGGTTGATGCAATGACAAGGTTGATGCAATGACAAAGTTGATGCAATGGCAGAGTTGATGCAATGACAAAGTTAATGCAATGACAGAGTTGATGTAATGACAGAGTTGATGCAATGGCAGAGTTGATGCAATGGCAGAGTTGATGCAATGACAATGTTGATGCAATGACAAGGTTGATGCAATAACAAAGTTGATGCAATCATCAGGTTGATGTAATGACAAACTTGATGCAATCACCAGGTTGATGCAATGACAGAGTTGATAAATGACATGGTTGATGCAATGAAAGAGTTGATGCAATCATCAGGTTGATGCAATGACAAAGTTGATGCAATCATCAGGCCGATGCAATGACAAAGTTGATGCAATCACCAGGTCGATGCAATGACAAAGTTGATGCAATCACCAGGTTGATGCACAGACAAAATTGATGCAATCACCAGGTTGATGCAATCACCAGGTTGATGCAATGACAAGATTGATACAATAACAACGTTGATGCAATGACAGTTGATGCAATCATCAGGTTGATGCAATGACAAAGTTGATGCAATGACAGGGTTGATGCAATGACATGGTTGATGCAATGACAGAGTTGATGCAATCATCAGGTTGATGCAATGACAGAGTTGATGCAATTGTCAGATTTATGTAAAGACCAAAATGATGCAATGATAAAGTTGATGCAATCATCAGGTTGATTCAATCACCAGGTTGATGCAATCACCAGGTTGATGCAATGACAGAGTTGATGCAATGACAAAGTTGATGCAATCATCAGGTTGGTACAATCACCAGGTTGATGCAATAACAAAGTTGATGCAATCACAAGGTTGATGCAATTACAAAGTTGATGCAATGACAAAGTTGATGCAATCACCAGGTTGATGCAATGACAAAGTTGATGCAATCACGAGGTTGATGCAATGACAAAGTTGATGCAATCACCTGGTTGATGCAATGACAAATTTGATGCAATCACCAGGTTGATGCAATGACAAAGTTGACACAATGACAAAGTTGATGCAATCACCAGGTTGATGCAATCACAAAGTTGATGCAATCACCAGGTTGATGCAATCATCAGGTTGATGCAATCATCAGGTTGATGCAATCACCAGGTTGATGCAATTAAAAGATGATGCAATCATCAGGTTGATGCAATCATCAGGTTGATGCAATCAACAGGTTGATGCAATGACAAAGTTGATGCAATCACCAGGTTGATGCAATCACCAGGTTGATGCAATCACCAGGTTGATGCAATCATCAGGTTGATGCAATCATCAGGTTGATGCAATGACAAAATTGATGCAATCACCAGGTTGATGCAATCATCAGGTTGATGCAATCATCAGGTTGATGCAATGACAAAGTTGATGCAATGACAAAGTTGATGCAATCATCAGGTTGATGCAATCATCAGGTTGATGCAATCATCAGGTTGATGCAATCACCAGGTTGATGCAATGACAAAGTTGATGCAATGATATAGTTGATGCAATCATCAGGTTGATGCAATCACCAGGTTGATGCAATGACAAAGTTGATGCAATCACCAGGTTGATGCAATCACCAGGTTGATGCAATCATCAGGTTGATGCAATCACCAGGTTGATGCAATGACAAAGTTGATGCAATGACAAAGTTGATGCAATGACAAAGTTGATGCAATCACCAGGTTGATGCAATGACAAAGTTGATGCAATGACAAAGTTGATGCAATCACCAGGTTGATGCAATCACCAGGTTGATGCAATGACAAAAGATTACATCAAATCATACCCCAATCAAGGTTTTGTCAAACTGACAACTCTGCGGCATGCATACATATCTCGTTATGTACCATCCTCCTTTGTACCATCTTTGAACAAAATCAGTTAAAGCATATACGAGAAATGACACTGGTTGCATGGACAAACACACAGACACATGCACAGACATAACCCAAAGTCCTCATTTCAGACTTCCTCTGACGAGAACTATAAATGCTTTTAACAAACCTGTGAATACCAATACACTTACAGAGCCCTCCAAACTGAAAACATGTGTGTTCCTATGTTTGTAGAAAATGATAATGAGACCAAGCGTAGCATATTACCTTTTGACACATGTGTGTTCCTATGTTTGTAGAAAATGATAATGAGACCAAGCGTAGCATATTACCTTTTGACACATGTGTGTTCCTATGTTTGTAGAAAATGATAATGAGACCAAGCGTAGCATATTACCTTTTGACACATGTGTGTTCCTATGTTTGTAGAAAATGATAATGAGACCAAGCGTAGCATATTACCTTTTGACACATGTGAGCTGAAGTAAATTGCAACAAGTATAATTGGAATAACTTCATAAATTAGACATACCTATGTTTATGAAAAATGATTACAATCCCAAGCAATAATCCCATTGCTGTAATGAGGCCTTCAGCAATGTCTTCTGCCCATGGAGTTCGTGGTACATTATCTAAAATTATATCGGGTAGCGGTGGGTGTGTTTTAGAATCAGGCATACGATCATGAACCATTGTTAGAACTATTGTTAAAATGTACGTCCCTAAACACAAGTATCCAAAGCTCCACAAAGCTTTCAGCTTTTCTGGTTCAATAACAGTTGGTTTGTAATCATCTCTTACATCGCCATTTAGGAAGGGACGAAACTCTGTCATTTCCTGCACGTCATTGTCAATGCGAAGTGACACATCGTCACATCTTGAAGACCCTGAGATGTGGTGTCCACCATTTTGTTCAGGTCTGACATTGCCCATGCTGTTAGTAGACATGTCAGAAAATGACATACTTTTATACAAAGAACTGCAAAATAAAAACAAAAAGCAGATTAAATAATTATGAAATAATTTCAGATTTTCTAAAAAACACTCCAGATTAGATAAATGTGAATTGGAAATATTAACCCAAAGGATCAGCAGAGATCAGTTCATCACCAACATTTTTTCGCTAACATTCTTACCGAGCTGGAAATATTATTTTAAATCAACGATCAAAAATCTTTTTATTTGTCACTAATTACATATTATAATCACCATAAAATATCAATAACCATACTATGCTTACATCATCTTGGCAATACTTCTGCCACATGACCTAGTTTTCAAGGCTAACATAATAAACAAAGTCTTATAACTGTTCAAATGTTATATATACATGTAGCTGGGTGCAACCATTCCAGAGTTTGAAGTAGCAGAGCTTGAAACACCATGAAATATATTTAGTCGGTTAATTCTCAAAATAACTTATGTATAAACTTTGAGTGATCAACTGCTAATGGCTAGAACATCAACTGGTGCACCAAATCACAGGTAGAAATCATATACACGATATCAGCTGTCTCAGATGCACTGATGGCGGTTGCTAAAAACACAGCGTCTTCATTTTACAATGTATATGAGTCTTATGTACGCATGACTCATGTCACAACCTGTTAACTTAAGAAAGTGGACAGAACATAATCCAACCAATAATCACTTCAGCAAATAAACTGGGTGTGGCTTATGGCATGTTTTAAATGTTTACCCATAAACAAAAGAGTGTTACTTCCACAAATCATGATTGTAATGCAATAAATATCTTCTGTCATGTAAACTGACTTCAACTAAATCTGTGTTTTAAAGATGCACTTCAAATGAGTGTTCGTGGGGGGGTTGCCAAATTTGACAATTTCCCTAGTATTTCAGTCTTCTATATAAATTCCATAAGATTTGAATCATTTTTTTTTTTCAAATTGAAGAGACATTTGTGTAGGTTTGTCTGGACTTTCTGCAGATTGAAATACATTATGTATTAATTCATGAAACTTTTATTATTTTTTCTGTAGACTTTTATTACAGGGTAGATATATGTACAGACTTGGTTTAGACCAAGTTGTGTGAATGAACTTTGCAAAAACTCTTTATTTTCTATCCTATGGATCTATACAATTGTACCCCTCTTCTATTATTATAACTTATATCTAAATAATGTAGACTAAAGTGATTTGAATTATTTTAAAATTTATTTAGTTTGCTGAAGAATCAACAATAACTTATCGTTGTTTTTAGTACTCAACTGTTCAGATATTTTAATTACTATAAAACTTCAAATTATTGAATATTGTGTTATCTCACAGCAATGTTTTGAAACAATCTGTGTATACGGCCATTCACCACAGACTGTATATTTGAACAATCTTAAATTACTATTTGACCAAAGACTGTCTATTTGACCATTCACCAAGATTCTTTTTTTACTAATAACGAAAACCAATCCCAAAGACTGTATCATTACCATTTGATTAAGGACTGTATATTTGGCCAATCGTAAATTACTATTTGACTGAAGACTGTATATTTGACCAATCACAAGGACTGTCTATTTGACAAGTCCAAAAAAACTTTCATTTGATCAATCCCAAAGACTGTCTTTTTACAAATCACAAATACTGTCTATTTGACCAAGCCCAAAGACTGCAAATGTGACCAATCCTGAAGTCTTTCTATTTGACCAATCACAAATATTGTTTACTTGACGAATCCCAAAGACTTACTAATTAACAAATCACCAAACTACCTACTTGACCAATCCTAAAGACTGCATATGTGACCAATCCCAAATGCTGTTTATTTGACCAATCAAAGGGATTACCAATCCCAAAAACTGTGTATTTTACGAATCACAAAGACTGCCTGTTTGACTAAAGTTATAGACTGTGTATGTGACAATCACAAAGCTTATCTATTTGACCAATCACAAAATCTTTCTATTTTACTATTTGACCGAAGAGTGTCTGTTTGACCAATCCCAAAGACTGACGAATTCCAAAGATCTCCCATTTGACTGTCTACTTAAGTAACCCCAAAGACTGTGTATGTGATCAATCACAAAGACTGTGTATGTGACCAATCACACAGACTATTTACATGATGAATTCCAAAGATTTTCTACATAACAATTCACCAAATTACCTTACTTATCCAATCCTATAAATGGTGTATGTGATCAATAACAAAGATTGTCTATTTGAACAATAAAAAATACTGTCTTTTTGACCAATCCCAAAAACTGTATATGTAACTAATCACAATGATTGTTTACTTGACGAATACCAAAAAGTTTCTTTTTTAAAAATCACCAAACTACATATTTTACCACTCCCAAAGACTGTTTATGTGATGAATCCCAAAGATTTTCTATTTGACCAATCATCAAAATATCACAAAGACTTTCTATTTGACCAATCACAAAGATTGTTTACATGACGATTTACAAAGACTTTCTTTTTAGTCCCCGTTTGGACGTAGTCCGGAAACGGGGACTTATGTTTGGCCCTGTGTGCGTTCGTGCGTCCGTGCATCTGTGCGTCCGTGATCACCTGTATCTCGAACATGCATGGACCGATTAAGTTCAAACTTCACTCATACATCACACATTATATGGGACATATGCACATGCATTTTTTTCATGATCCGATTAACGATAGCCGAATAGCGGCCATTTTAAGGCTGAAAATGCATCAAAATCGCACATTTTCACCATTCCGGACCCGGATCTCAGTTATGCATGGACGGATTTTGTTCAAATTTGGTACATACATTAAACATAATAGGACCTTGATGCACGTCATTTTTTTGGGGGGATCGGGCTTGAAATGGCCGACTGGCGGCCATTTTTTTTAAAGAAGTCAGTTCTGGATCCGTATCTTAGAGATGTCTGGTTTGATCGAGTTCAAACTTCACACACACAAGGTACATCATGTCATAAATATGTATGTGCATTTGTTTCATGATCTCATTAACGATAGCCAAATGGCGGCCGCTTTAAGGCCGAAAATGCATTGAAATCACACATTTTCACCATTTCGGACCCGGATCTCAGTTATGCATGGACGGATTTTGTTCAAATTTGGTACATACATTAAACATAATAGGACCTTGATGCACGTCATTTTTTTGGGGGGGATCGGGTTTGAAATGGCCGACTGGTGGCTATTTTGTTTTAAAGAATTCAGTTCTGGATCCGTATCTGAGACATGCCTGGATTGATCGAGTTCAAACTTCACACACACAAGGTACATCATGTCACAAATATGTATGTGCATTTGTTTCATGATCCGCTTAACAATAGCTGAATGATGGCCATTTTAAGGCCAAAATGCATCAAAATCGCGTTATTTCACAATTCCGGAACCGGATCTCAGTCATGCATGGATGGATTTT